TAACAAAGAAAAGCAACTCGGAACCGCCCCCCTAATTTCGCCGAAAATGTCGGGAACCTCTCCCTGGAATGTTGTGTTGTGGGAACCAACACAAACCACCTTGGAAGGGTTTTATTGGTAATTTCGACGCCCAGCCACCCACCCACCCATCCACCCCACCCACCCACCCCCGCCCCAACAACCTCCCCCCAACCCGAGCTGTCCTTCGAGGCCGGGGCCGCTTCCAGGCCTCTGGAATCCGCAACGAGCTTCGTTTTCGGGACCAAAGTGACCCCCCGTTGGCGGGAAACAAGCCCTACCCCCTGGGAGGTTTCATAACCAAAGTCAAATCACTCTTGGGTGGTTGGAAAGGAAAAAAACACCCCCCCAGCTGCTGTTTGATGACCTAGAACCCCTTTTGTGTCGGGGAACTCCAACAAACAGAACTGGCTACATCCGAAACGCAGACTACGTTTGGCGGATCTTGACGGTTTGACCCTCTTCCAACAAGGGGCTTAGTTGTTGGAGACCTTTTTGAAAGCCCCTTTTGATTAAAGAAAACAAACAAACAAAAAATGGAAAGCCTTTTTTGGCCAAAAAGGAGCCAATGTATCTCGACCAACCTACACAGCAGGCCGTGTCCAACCTTATTGCCCGACAATATGACCGCGCGAAACCAATTGGGGGACCAAAGAAAACAACAACGATAAAATGGGTATAGACCTGGGTGTACAACCACTTATCTTGCAACTCATAAGTAGCACAACAAAGAACCAATACTCAGCTGTCGTTCGTTCGGAGCATCCCATGCGTAAAGGCCGCCCCTGAAGCACCCGAAGCTTCGGGTGCGGGGTATGGTAGGGAAGTCATACAAAAATGCGACAAACCGACAAACCACCCCAACATCGAAAGATGTAATCGAGCCGTGTTTCACCAACCCACAATGAGCAACCAACCAAGCAAGCAAGCAAGCAAGCAAGCAAGCAAGCAAGCAAGCAAGCAAGCAAGCAAGCAAGCAAGCAAGCAAGCAAGCAAGCAAGCAACCAACCAACCAACCAACCAACCAACCAACCAACCAACCAACCAACCAGGGGTAAGCCTCGGCAAGTAAAAACAACATGTGCGAAAGCCCAGTCCAAAAATCCATTTTGTTGCACTCATTCAGATGTGTCTAAAAGATAAACCCCCAAAGTGGCTCCCAAACGGGGCAGCCATGAGGCACGTGACAAACCGGGGAAAAACCTCCAAACTGGCTTCGGTTTTCTGGCCGGGTGTGCCTTTAATAGGTAAAACAGGGGACGGACCAAATGGGGCGTTACCAACGCCCCATTTGGTTGGCCCAAGTTTTCTTTTGGAGGCGCCCTTTTTTTGGTTTGGTCTGGTTTAAAGGGACGCCAAAAAGAAACCCCCTCCAAAACCAGGCAAAAACATGTGAGTCTTCCTATTTTAAGTTCGGACCCGCCTTCGCCGTCACTGTCCTCGTCCCCTGGCTCTCGTCTGATGCAACCTGCAGTCAGGCGCGCCGAGCGCCCTTTTGGTCGTGGCTGCAAGTTGACCATGTTCCGAAGATCGGCTTTTGCTTGAAGATTCAATTTCCAATAAAGATTGACTATAGGCTTTGAAACTTGACGATGTTCAAAGTCAACCCCTAAATGGTCGGTAAAAAGGAAAACAATGCCGGCTTCACACCAAAGGGTCAAAATCCCCATTTACATTTTGGGGGACCTTTCAAAGTGTGTGATTTGAACATAGGATGGAGCTCTTTGCCAGGATGATGCATGTGCCGATTTTGGGGGGACGATGGGGAGGCAGGACATCATGTCGATTTTGGGATTCCCTAAATACACACACATCCCCCAAAAACAAGGAAACAATTGTAGCAAGCCACTGAGATCCTCTCCAACCCCGTCACTTCCAGGCCAATATAGTACGTAACAAAGAAGACAACTACGAACCAAAGTAGTGGCCTCCGCACTAACATGGAACCGTCATGGTTCAAGGACAATGGTCCAAGCCTGGACCCCGATTCAGGTTCCATGTCTGGGAGGGCAACCGCCATGGTAACCAAAGGGAGCCTCAGGCCAATGGCAAGCCCTGGAAGGTGTTGCACCGAATCGAATCGAACCAGCTCGCAGCAATGGTTGCTTTTTTCCCCGCGAGGGATCGCGATCGATCTGAAGGGAGACAAGGAAGAAATCGAACCTAAGGACATTGTTTCAGGAAACAAGATACGAACAAAGAGCGAGTTTAAAAACTCAACAAAACGACCCTTTGGCGGTTGGAAATGGAATTGGGTACAAAAGCTAACAGGGCAGGTTGAATAACAACCAGCAAACCCACAACCAGGCTTGAACAATTCCGGGTTCTTCGCATGTCTCTTGATAAACATCACTCTACACAAAGGCAAACTCAACGAAGATTGGCCCAATCCGAAAAGCGAAGTATCGGGACCCCAGAAACATCCAAAGAAACAATTGTATTTGTTTAAAAACAAATGACCAGCAATCACCAACCGGCTCTGTGCACCTTGGCGTACCTTTGATCAGCTTCGCTCCAATTGGTGGTCTGGATTGGTTCTTTCGTCAAGAACCAGGGGTTCAAAGGCGAATCCAAACCACCAATTGGGGGCTACAACTGATTTGGGGTCTAGGCAAATCAATTTGGGTGTCGTTTCTTGAGGATACCCTTCTTGAGGTTGGCGTTGAAGGAAAACCAAAAGGAAAAAAGCCTCCATTTGGGAGGATCCCCCGAAGAAGAAAAAAAAGAAGAACAAATTGGTTGTGGTGGATCGAAACAAGACACCCACACGTCTTTGACAACCAAACAGCCGATGACCTCGGCCCGTGCTGTCGGACAACTCCCCCTCACCGGCCTGGCAGTGCCATGCCATTGCGCCCGCGTGCAAAATCGATCGGCAGATGGATCGATCAGATCGCGACCAGTGGCGGTGTTTGCGTCTACCGTGGTGTGTCTCTATTTGTTTGAGCCCTGCGCTTGTTGGCAGCCATGGATATTTTGTGCTTATCTAGCCATGTCTTTGCTTCGCTCTTCTTTTGTTGTTTGGAACCCGAACCTGGCAACGCCCTCTTTCGCACCGTCTTCTGATTTTGGGGAGCCCGGCTCCGTCCCATTTTGCTCGTGTGGCCCTCGGCCGCTCTGGATTCATGGATGCGATTGGGCCTGTCGGCCGGAGATTTTGGCGGCAGCGCAGTCGAGAGGTGAAGCGGGGCCGTCTATCTTTGAGGCTACCCCTTTTGGGGTTGCTTGGCTTTGAAGGACAGCCAAAAGGAAAATCACAATATTTGGAGTGCTTTTCCGTCTGGGGAAAGAAGAATCATATGTCCACTGAAACTGATTCCCTCCAAAACCCGGGGGAAAAAAAAGGGGGGGGGGGGGGGCATTCTCTTAAAACAGCCCCGAAAACGGGTACCCAGAAAAAAAAACACCCCCATGGGTTTGGAAAGCTCAACTCCATGCACAAAACCCGGCCCCGGCGCAGTCGGGTGTTCAAAGGAAACTTTTTGGAGGAAAACCGACATCGTTTTTGGGAGTTTGTGGGTTTCAAAGAGAAACCAAACAGAAGACCGAAATCCATGCGGGTCCGAAAACCTGAAAAGACGAACCTGAGAAGCCCGCGGCGTTCCGATTTTGATGGCACTCTTCGGTTGATTTCAGGAGCAACCAAAGGGACGCCGCCCCTTTCAAACGTATGGCATGTTCAGGCATGTTTGGAGGTACGGAGGAAATACGTGCCAAGGTGGTCGAGGGAGGAAACCTTCCTTCATGGTTTTGGGGGCCCGTTAGTTTTTTTTTGTTCCAAGCAGAAAAGATGATGGCATCGCGTGCCTCGAAACCCCGAGAGGCGAATGTCCTCAAAAACAGAATGTGCGTTCCAGTTTCTTCGACACTCTTTGGGTTGTCAAGGAAAACCAAAAAAAAAAGCTCATAGGGCTGCCTTCAGGAAACCGAAAAACACATGGCATTAGGGGTGTAAGCTTGTCGCCTTCGGTGGCGAAGGCTCGCTTGGTGGCGGGGGATCCCTCTTGCCGAAAGCCACTAGTGAAAGCTGTCGTAAATCCCTCTAAAGAACAAAACAACAGGGGTATGGCTGGGAACCGCCAAGGCAAATGGGAGCTTGTGTAGCACTCCACCGTGAATATCAGTACAGGAATGCAAAGGCTTGTCCGCAGGATCCTTGAACATTGGCCGGAAACTCCAAAAACGTCAACAACAGGGAAGCCCCCTTTTTGGGACCGCAAGGGAACCCCACTATTCGCGGGGACCAGTGAGATACCCCCCCCCCGTTTACTTGCCGCTCTCCCCAGGCCGAACCGGCGCTTTGTCTCGGGTCGTTTGCCTCGCGCCATGCCTTTCCCGTCCAACTCTGGCCGTATCGGACCCCTTAAGTCCGATGAATTGCGGACCTCCCTCCCGGCCTGGGCTCTAGTAGGTCCCCAGAAGAGCTACCCGTTTTTTGGGCTGGGTGTTGTTGCTGTTTTGTTGGTTGTTGCTGGTCATCGTTGTTTGTTGGTTGTTTTTTCAGCGGTTCAAAGGGGACACTATAATTTTCACCTTCAAAAGGTGCAATTGACTGGTGTCGCCACTTTTGCGTGCAAAAAGGGAAATGGAGGAAACGCTGGTTGACCTCGGATAATGTTTGGTTGGTTTCTTTTGCAGGTTGCCAGGGATTTCCTCTATAAATCGTGATTTCCCTTGGTTACCTGGTATCTGGATTCGCTGAGGTCCGTTTTCCCTCCCAACACAGGAACCCATGAACGTTGAGAAGCACCCACTTGAATGGCTCACGTTTATGCTGCTCCGGCTTGATCCTGCGCAAAATGCCAGTCCGGGGGTTCAGTGAATCAACCGTCCGTCGCTCAAATCCCCGGATTTTCAGTTTAATTTACGTTGGTTCCAGCCACCACTGAACGAAGACGACAAATACAAGCCCCAAAGTTCGAAAGTTCGGTTTCGGGCAAGTCCGTTGCATTTTTGTTCGGTGCTTGATCCATGCAAGCTTTCAAGCTTTGGAGTGCAGGTGTGCTTCACCCCGAGCCCCAGTCTCCCGGCTCTCAAAACCAGGCGTTGGCCGCGCTGTGAAACGGGGAGCCATGCTCTGCTCCGCGGGAACTCTCCTCCGGCGCGCGCGCGCGCGGTCAGCTGCCTGTCACTTGAGGACTCCACCTGGCGGTTTGACCCGGGGCGGCAACTGGGGGATTTCTGCAGACAGCCGGATGAAGTGCCCCGGAAGATGCTTTGGTTCCCCAAGGAGGGCCTGGAGTTTCAGAGAAGGACTATCCAACATGGCGCTGAAAAGGAGCGCTCCTTCTTCTCACACAAAGACGTAGGGGATGTCCATATGTCCAAGCCTTCTCGACAAAACAAGTACTAACGTGGTCTGTCTTACGGGTACCCTTTTTGCAAGTTGGTTTAAAGAAACTCAAGAGACCGCCATCCATTGTTGTGGGTTCACAATATTGAGACAAACCCATCTCTTCGTATCTTCATCCAACATTATCCGGAGACCCTGGGCTTGGAGTTGAATACGAGGGGGGAATTGGGCAGCTCATGCTTTCCCACTGAGCAAGCTTAAGCCGAGCTCATTTGGTATACGGCTGTGGGTCAAAAATATGCTAACCCCAAAATGGAGCCCTGGTAAGTGGAACAACATTCCTTACATTATACACTTGAACATTGCCTTGTAAATGATGGTGTCCCTTTATTTTGGTGGGAAAAGCCATGTTTCAAATGGGCAAAATGTATCTTTTAAGGAGCCCTGTGGAAACATGGACCAAAACCTGCGGTCCAATTCCTGGTGGTTTAATTTTGACCCACACCCATACGTGCTATCCGGTGAAACATTCCAACAGCACGCCTGAACTTTCGATCACCTCGACATTGGGGATGAGTGCTATCCTGGGCCGAGACAAAAGAATCGTCACTGCGGGCCGAGAAAGCTCTCCAACTGGCCAAGCGGCTAATTTCACTTGCCAGGACCCAGAAATGTAGGGTTGACCTTTTGGAAGTTTCACTAATGGTTGCTTAATGCAAAAAACCAGAAGCTCAGGTCGATTCGCTTTGGACGCGGTGTTTCATCGTTCCCCACAAACCAAACATGGGTTGCGAGTATACGAGTATACCCTCGAGTGGGTAACTCCCAACAACCTTCCCCTTTACTCTCCAGATTAACATGGAACCCAAAAAACACCCGTCAGAGGAATCTCCTGGGATAAGGAACCCCCCCCTTGATGGGCAACTTATTTTTTTGCATGGGAGTAGTTTCCTTGACAAATAACCTCTTAGTCAACCATAGCCATGCAATCGGAATAGGCAAAACCAGGTCTCAACCGAATAGGTTGGGTTTGCCACCTCCATCTTCATGGGTTTCTGGGGCTTTTGTTGAGTTGGCACCCCTTTGGGTTTGTGATTTTCAAGGGAAACCCAAGGGAAAACCGAAACCCATGTTGGGTGTTCCAACAAAAGATATGGCGCTTGGAGAATTGATTGCGCGTTGCGAGGTCTCGAACAGGCGCAAAGAATAAACTCGGTGGCCGAATGGGGGGGAAGTCAACCACGTATCCTAGCATGGACACCCAACAACAACAAAATACAACCAAGCTAAAGACTGGTTGGCCCCTTGCGTGTTGGAAAAATGCACCAAGGAAAAGATCAAACAGCCTAAAAACGAAGCCCCTCTCCTGCCGAGAAAAACAAAAAAAACTGAGGCCGTTGGCCAGTCCCCAGACGAATTCGGCAGAAGGCCCATGCCGGCCATGTGGTACCTGACGTAAGTTGCGGATGCTCCGATGCCAGATTGTAAGTAAGGGAAGAGGGGGCACCCGAATTTACTGTGTACCAGGGTTTTGCGGTGTATGGTTGGCCAACGTGCAATACTTGGCGCATCCACCATATAGTTCGCAAGAAACGGTTAGCATGCCCAACCAATAGCCACACTCTTAGCACACCTTTGGGGCTGGGTTTCTTTGAGGGTAGCCTGTTTGGGGTTGGTACATGAAGGAAACCAAGAGATGGGTGAGCCTACTACAGTATGATTATGATGCTTAATTGGGAAACGCCCTCGAACATGGTTGGGCTGCTCGACACAAAACCCGTTCCGTTGTCAATAGAGTCCCCGATTCAAGCTCACACTGCTGTGGAAAAAATCTAATTTACACGAGTTGGGATTGGTTCATGCCAGTATTCAACAGGCTTCATCCATCCCAATAGGTGCGAGGTGGACCAAGGTCGGTGCATGAGTCTGCATGAGTCTGCATGAGTATTGATTTTGAACCTTCCGTGGTCATGAGTTACAATGAGATCTGTGTGCAGCAACCGTGTGTGAGGGCCGTGCCCAATACAAATTCATAGCCACATGAAAAAGACAGTGCGTGAGATGAAATCGAGGACTCCCAAAATACGCTCCTTTTGCTTTCCCTCGGACAACAAACATCCAAATAAGGAATTGTGTGGGAAATGTGGGGAAATGTGAAGTGCACCGTCAAGTTTGGCCTTCATAGGTCA